CGGCGGTGACGAGGCGGCCCGTGGTGGGGTCGTAGGTGCCGGCCAGGTAGTAGAGGTCCTGGCGGTCCTGGTACTTCTTGCTGCGCGTCATCTGCTCGTAGTGCTCGCGCCCCACCACCTGGCACTTGTGCGAGATGGTCTGCACGTCGTTCTCGTCCTCGTGGCACGACTGGTACAGCGCGTTCTGCGGATCGGGGGCTGGATCAGGGTCTGCGCCCTGAGCCCGTCCCTGCCGCCCCCCCGGCCCGACCCCTATGCCCCTGACCTTGCCGTCACTGTGCCGCTTGCCCAGCTTGGTCTCCTCCCAGTGGTAGAACCACTTGACCTTGACCACCATGTTGCTGCCCCACGACTCCCACATGCTCTCGATGCGGCCGATGTAGGGCAGGTTGGGCCGCCCGGCCGAGAGGAACACGGCGCAGTCCCCGACACGCAGTGTCTCTTTGCCCCGCACAATTGCCTTGTAGAACAGCTTCCGCGCCTTCCCCTTCATGCCCCGGCGCTGCAGGCAGGCGGCAGCGGGTCAAGGCCTGGCCCTGGTGCCCGCAGCACCCTGCTCGCCAGGGCTCTGGGGGAGTAGCGCATCGGGGGGGGGCGGGTCTGGACCATGCCACTTACCTGCGTGGGGTTCCCCGACCACCTCCAGAGCTGCCGTGCCGGCAGGAAGGCGGAGATCTTTGGCCGATTTTCCACCGACGGCAGGCGCTGCCTCCGGGAGAACTCTTTGGCTTTGGAGAAGCTCAGGGCCTCCTTGCGCTTGAGCTTGGCCTTGGCGCTGGCCACAGCCGCCTTGGCGAGGAAGCAGCGGGCAGGCGGCGCGCCCCCCTTGGCACGCAGGGCCTGGGCGGCGGGGGCCAGCAGGGCGGGCACGGGTTGTGACAGGCAGGTCTGCAGCAGCAGGGCCGAGTCCTCGTCATCGGAGCTGTAGGACGAGTCCTCGTTGTCCGAGGAGCAGAGGCTGGACGTGGAGCCCGAGCCCGAGCTGGACGAGGTGGAGGAGCCCGAGCTGGACGAGGACACGGAGAGCCGCGCCAGGAAGCGCGAGGGCACGGCGGCCGTGCCCAGCGCCCCGGGGCCCTCGTCCTCCTCGGGTTCCGAGTACGAGCTGTGGCAGTCGCTGTCGCAGTGCGGTCCGCACTCGCCCTGGCCCCCGAACTTGCGCAGCGCCAGCCCCACGGGCAGCGGGTGCGCCGGTGCCCGCCCCTTGCGCTCCTTGCCCGCCAGCCCCGGTGGCCCGTAGCCCTGGCCCGGCAGCGCCCGAGCGCCGAACGCCCGGTCGGCCGCCAGCAGCGCCTTGCAGGCCTTGCTCTTGGGCGAGGTGACGCCCTCGTGGTCCAGCTTCACCAGGCACTCGGCGCCCGCCCGGCGCCGCCCAGCCCGGCCTGCCTCCGCCTCCAGCCGCTTGGCCCGCAGCAGCTTGTGGGCACCGGGCAGTGCCAGGCCGGCGCCGGGGCCAAAGGCGGCGTAGGAGCTGGCGATGCGGCTGAAGGAGTCGGCCCCGAAGCCGGTGCCGAAGACGGGGGCGGCCGCGTGGTGGTGGTGCGGGGTGAACAGCGCCTCCTTGGCCCGCAGCCGCCGGGCACCGCTGCTCAGCTGGAAGAGGTCCTGGAGCACCGCTGCACCCTTGCCCGCTGCCTTCCGCTTGCCCTGCGCCACGGTGGCCCAGCTCAGCAGCGGGCTCCCGCGCCGGCCCGGGAAGTGCTCGCTCGGGGCCGATGCCCGCGCGCCCGCACCCAGCGCCTCCGCCTTGCCTGGGGGCAGGAGCACACAACGGGTCAGAGCGGGGCACTCCCCATCCTTGTGTCCCCTGGTTCCCCTCACTCCCGACCCGCAGCCCCCTACCCTGGCGCTGTCGGTGCCCCTCGCTCCTGACCTGCTGCCCATCCCCATGCCACTCGCTCCCAACCCACAGTCCCTCACCCCGGAGCTGCCAGTGCCCCTCACTCCCCAATATCGCCCCTGTGCCCCCCGGTTACCTTCACTCCCACCCCGTGACCTCTCCCCCTGAAGCTGCCACTGCCCCTCCCTCCAGACCGGCCTGTCCAGCCCCGTGCACTGAGAAGCTCAAGTACCAGCTTTCTCCTTGCTGGCTGCCTTCTTCCCGGGGTTCTTGGGGGGCTCAGGAGCATCGCGCCCCTCGGGGCACAGGCTGGGGGCCGAGTCGCCGGGCGGGGGCAGGTCGCTGGAGGAGCGCTTCGTCCGCCGGCACATGCTGGAGGTGAGCAGCGCTGGGCAGGGCTCCGTGCCTGGGGGCGCAGCAAGCGTCAGGCCCTGGTGTCCCCCATGTCCCCCCCAAACACCCTGTCCCTGCACCGAGCCAGGGACTCACACTGGATCTTGAAGTCGGGGGGCAGGAGGCGGATGTTGGCCACAGCGATGTGCCCGGTGTCGCCGTCATCAAACTCCACCATCACCGCGTCCGGGTCATCATCCTCGTCGCTCGAGGAGCCTGGGGGGGCACGGGGAGGGGATGTCAGCCCACCTGGGGGGCAGGAGGGGCCAGACCGCAGCACGCGTGCACACGCGGGTCCCTCACCTCGCACCACGTTGCCTGGGTAGAGGCACCGGGACTTCTGGCTCCAGTAGGCGCAGACGCGGGTGCCGGGCGAGAGGCACCGGCGCGACGGGGGCCGCACGTCCAGCACCTGCAAGGCACCGCGGGGCTCAGCGCGACCCCAGGCTGCGCCCCCCCAGCCCCTCTGCCGGCCCCAGGAGCGGGACGGACTCACGGCTTCCTGCAGCAGCTGCTCCTGGGAGTAGATGCGCCGGCGGGTGCCGCGCCCCCACTCCCCCCCGC